ATCTCTACCTCTAAAGAAGGGATATCCCCAATAGATAAGTGGCCAAAGGATATGAATAGGTAATTCTCAATTAAAGAAAAGCAAGCTATCAACAAATCATACGAAGAATTCTCTAAATAACTAATTCTAAGAGAAATGCACAATGAAGCAACTCTGACTTCTACCTCATACCTAACAGACTGGACAAAATGATCACTGTTGCAGGGACTAAGAGGAAACAGGCACATTAATGCACTGCTGGTGGAGCTGTGACTCCTCATTATATAAAACAATTTGGAACTATACACAAAAAGTTGCTAAATTCTGCATAGTTTGGCCTAGAATATATTCTTAGTATATATACTGAAAAGATAAAACAAAGAGGCAAAGGATCCACATATACAAAAGCACTGATAGCACCACATTTTGTTGCAGCAAAGACTAAGAAGGAGAAGCCATGCTCATCAATATTCCAGAAAAAAGCTAAACAATTTAAAGTATATGAATTAATGGAATATTCTTGTACTGTAAGTAATGACAAAAGGGCCAGACTTAGAGAAACCTGAAGTGATGTGTATGAACTGATTTAGAATAAGATGAATAGAATTAGAAGGCTAACTTACATGACTACAATATTATAAAAAAAATCAATTTTTAAAGTCTTGATCAATGCAATGGCAATGAAATAACATGCTTCCTACCTCTGGACAAGAGAGACAACGTACGAGAGATATCAAATGAAACATTTCTTTTAAGATATGGCCAATGGATACAATGATTTTGCTTGATGATGCTAACTCGTTATAGGGAAGGGCTCAAGGCAGGGAGGAGTGAGAGGGGAAAGCAGGGAGCTCATGATAGTGACACCATGAGAACAAAAGAAGAATGCACGAGGAAAATATTCAAGAAAATGCATAGAAGAAATCAGATTTAGTAAGAACACAAAAAGCCAGAGTAGAGTCAACATGAAATGAATGACACTTTTAAAATGAGTTATTCTTGTAAGTAATGAGACTGACTGTTTCATATGTGATTCTTTTTTTCTGTTCCCTGTATATGGTAATATTCATATTTGCTGGTGTTTTCAAACTCAGAATAATAAAAAGCAAAAGAGAAAAATTATAGTAGGTTTCTGGTCTGACCATTTCAGATGCCATCCCCGCCCTATGAGCTTTACCAGAGATGAAGCTGAATTAACGTTGTTCATGTGAGATTTTATCTTAACTTGAGACAAATGGTTTTTGCATATGCCATAAGAAGCAGTTGTATTAAAAAACAAACAAACCTCCTCATGAGGTTAAATTAAATTTTAAAAATCACAGTAAGAAGGAGTCAGTAGGCTGATAATACAAAAGCTTTCTAATTGAGTAAAGCACAAAGGAGATGACATTGGAAGAAATGAAGACCGTCAGTCACGGGGATGCCCCAATTAGAGAACTGCCACAAAATATTCTAAATTTCTAGTAAGAAAACATTTTCTTGAGGGAAAAATCTTCAGATATAATCAAAAGATATTTCAGTCAACGTGTGTAAAATATGCAACCACACTTATAAAAAAGGTTACTAAAAATTATGACAAATGCACATATTCAGTTTTGGGGACCCCTCTTTGGTCAGCCTAAAAATAAAGTCAATTGTTCTAACTAAAACCATAGCAGTAACTTAGGGCTCAAGGAGAAAGTCACTATAGGGAATAAGAGTTTAAGAATAGGGTCTTTACAACAGAGTATTTCAGTGACTGACACTTGTGAAGGTTGTTTTAAGGATCAAATAACATAATAGATATAAAGGGTTTTGTAAACCTAAAAATAATAAATTATTTACCAATACTACCATCATCATTATAACTGTTACCTATTTGTACCCAATAGAGGTCAGTTTGGGGGTTCTTAAATGTCTTGAAATTCTTTACTTGAAACGGATTTTCATTGACATATTTTATTTTTTACCTCACCTAGTTTTCCATTACCTCAATGCCTCTCTCAGCAAGCTATCCGTTCTAAAAATAACTTTTAAAAAGAAAAAAAGGGGAAATTTTTTTTAAAAGTCAGCAAAACCAATCAACAAATCAAAAATATTTAACACCACATTCAAGTTCAACATGCATGGACACCTCTTCTCTGCAAAGACATGGGGGGAGGTTTTTCTTATATATCTCTCTGGGGCCAAGCCTGTTCTCTATAATTTTGTAACATTCATTTTACATTGTTTTGTGATCATTATTCTTTCAATTTACATTGTTGGAGTCATTGGGTAAACTGTTTTACTGGCTCTGCTTACTTTACTTTGCATCAGTTCGTGTAAATATTTTTATACTTCTCTGTATTCAACATTTCTTAGAGTAGAATAACATATTCAATTACCATAATTTGTTTAGCCATTCCCCAATTAATGGATATCTACTTTTGTTTCTTTGCTACCACAAAAATCTAATCTATAAATACTTTGGTGTATACGGAGCCTTTCTTCTTGTCAATAAGCTCCCTGGGGCATATGTCTAGAAAATTAATAAGTGAATCAAAAAATATAGACATTTTAGTCACTTTTATTTGGATAATTCTAAATTGTCTTCAAGAATGTTTATAGGAATTTGCAGTTCCATCAAGAATGCACTAATGAGGGCAGCTAGGTGGTGCAGTGGATAGAGCACCAGCTCTGAAGTCAGGAAGACCTGAGTTCAAATCCAGCTTCAGACCAAACACTTGACACTTACTAGCTGTGTGACCCTGAGCAAGTCACTTAACTCCAAATGCCTAGAAAAAAAAAAGAATGCACTAATGTGTGTCTTTCCACACCTCCTTCAATACAATTTCTACCTCTTGCCATCTTTGTCAATTTGCTGGGTATGAAATAAAACCTCACGGTTGTTTTGATTTGCATTTCTCTTATTATTAAGTGGTTTGCATCATTCTTTCATGTGACTAAGAGTTTGTAATTTTTCTGTTGAGAAATGTTTATTCATATCCTTTATCCACAGGGGAATGGCATTTGTTTTTATACATTTCTGTCAGTTGTCTATGATCTTGGATGCCAAATCCTTATCCAAGGAATATGATAAAATTTTTTTTTACCAGTCAGCTACTTCCCTTCTTATCCTCTATGCATTAATTTTGTTTGTGTAAAAAGCTTTTCAATTTTGTGTATTCAAAATTATCTATTTTATCTTCTGTAATTACTCTATTCTTTATCAAGGTAAAATCCATTTCCTACTCATTGCTATGAAATGAACTGAATGTAATCTGCTTCTTTTCTAAAATGTTTATGGTGTCTGATCTTTAATATTCAGGTCAGATTGATTTTGAATTAATCATGTAATAGGGTATAAGATAACTTAAGACTAAATTTTTTTTAAAAAAACCACTATTCTATTTGTTCTTGTCTCTTTTCCCTTTCTCTTCTACTAAAAGATTATCTAAATCTCTATTGTTCTTCCTTGAACTTCATCTCTATTGTTCTTCCCTGAATTTCTTCAAATCTCAAACTACTAAGAATTCTTATTCCTAACTCCATACCTTTGTTTTTGTTATTCTTTCTAGTTAGAATATCCTTATCTTCCTCTCTGCCAAACCTCAGCCCTCAACTATTTTCAATCACTGCTAAAAATTCACTTCTAACAAATCTCCAGTGATTAACTTTACCTATATGTTCACTTAGTGCTCAACCACACAATATTTATGTATTCCATTTGTATCATATAAATATATATTTGTTAATCAACTTCCTTTTAATTTTATGCATATGTGGTTTACCCGGCACTAGAATTAAGCTCCTGGGGAACATACCACACCAGTAATAATTAGTAAATACTCAATATGTTACTGCCTGACCTTTTCCTCTTAAATTTGAAAAAACAGAATACTGCTTCTTTTGGGGGGGGGGGGCGGGGCAATAGGGTTAAGTGACTTGCCCAGGGTCACACAGTTAGTAAGTGTTACGTGTCTGAGGCCAGATTTGAACTCAGGTCCTCCTGAATCCAGGACTCTATCCACTGCGCCACCTAGATGCCCCCAGAATATTGCTTCTTAAATAATTATTTAGCTCTTCTATAAAACATAATAAAACTTAATGATTTGTTACACAATTTATCCATAAACTGAGTGGGCTCCTACTATAGTGAGTAATCTCATTTTCCAATTAAATTCTCACTTTTTTGCATGCATTTTCCTGACAAGAAACTTTCATTTACCAAAAACTTTTATTAGCAAAGTTTGGATAAAACTATTTTTACAAAACTCATTAAATAACAAAAGACTACTAAGTCAGATGAGCCAAGAGATTCACTTCCATCAAATTATGTGCAACACAGGGCTTTAAGTCATATACAGCAGGTTCCTCCCTTTCAATGTAATTCAAATTAGTTCAATAAGCATACCAGCTAACTACTAAGTGCCAGGTACTGTAGGTATAGAGACAAAAATGAAAACAATTCCATCTACCCTCATGTAGCTTTCAATCTACTTAGGGAATCATGTACACAGATAAGAAAATACAAAATAATTTGGAGAAGAATGTTGCTAATTGAGGGAACACAAAAAAAGGTCACATGTAGCAGATGTCATTTGAACATCTAAGCCTTGGAAACTAAGCTAGAGATTCTAAGAAATGGAGGTGAGGATGGAGAGAATTCTAGAAATAGGAAAAAAATCTGTGTAAAACATAGAAGCAAAAAAGATGGAATGTTGCATGCAAGGAATAAATAAAAATTTTGTTTCTGTACAGCTAGAGTAGAAAGTAGTAGCTGGTTCTAAAGAAAGCATTTTAATGACCAGATCAATCATTTTCACCTTTTTACTACTGGAAGCTCAGAAATAGACAAAACCACTATGAGAAAAAAGGTTTGGTAAGTACGCAGTTTTTTGACTTCTTAATTCATTAAACATTGGTACAAGGGCATTTTGACTACTCAAGATAAACCTTCAGAAATTCCAGTACTATCCCAGCAGTGCTCTGTTCTGCCTAAATTTTCCTACTGACATAAATATCAGTTTTCTCAGTACAGAATTCATAACACAACATTATACCTTTTTCTCTGTGTGCAGTAAATGAATTATGATTCTCCAGGGGATGTCCAAGATACTTCCAAGAGACATTATCTTTTTTCTTCAGAATAATCTCTACTTTACCCGTTTTTTCTGCAACACGTGCTAAAAATAAATTCCATTAGTATTCAAAACTGGGATCATAATTTATATTAGCCTACCAAAAGTCAGCTCTTTAAAAAAAAAAAAAGTCTGTTCCAAACTTATTAATGTCACAGATATGACATACTTCATGGTAAAAATAGGAACAAATTGTAAACTAATGTTTTGGTTATATTTTCAACAAAATTCCTTCTCACTCATTGCTTCTAAAAGACTACACACCAAATGGTTTAAAAGGAGCTAAATTTACCTGCTGGATTCCCAGATCTGTACCCTATCAGGGTCAATCCTTTACTTCTGAGGCCCTGAAATTCCTCTGTCCAAGTTCCAAGCAAGTCCAAAACAAATGCTGTCCCGGGAACTTCCTCAATTTTCTGATGCCTAGGAGAAACATCTCCATTTTGATGGCTTCAATATAAAAAGTTTCTTTTGCTGATAATAATTGGATAAGTTTTTACCTTGATCATTGGATCACAGATCTAGGAGAGCAAGGGACTATGGATATAAGGTTATGATCTACAATTTTATCCATATCTCTAATGATCTCAGGGGTTCATTCCTATACTTCCCTTTGAGGCTTCTCAGAAAACTGGTTTGATCTTCAAGTACTATTTTCCTTTCCTTTCACGCCCAATTCACTCCCTAATCAACCAGTATAAAAATAAATAGAGTTGCAGGTTGTCCAGAATGGGCTTTATGTCACTCCCATCTCTTCTCTTGGAACTGTCCCTCCCAACTTCTACCCCAAATTTGTTTCTGAAGCATTATGTCTTAAATCACAGGCAGAACAGCCAATATGAATTAATTGAAAGCTACTTCTATAAAAGTCTCCAGTTGATTTATGTTCTTTTGAAAGGTGGCCCTAAGGTTTCTGGACATAATCTCTGGCTGAATGTCAGTAAATCTATCATGGGATAAGGTAATTTTCAAGGAAATTTGGCAAACTAGCAAGTGAAACTGGTTTCTCAACATACTGGATGGAGTAAATTCTTTATGCAGGCCGTTTTGAAAACCAGGCTAATTTGCTTTATACTCATATTAACTTATTTCAAGCTAATTGCTCAAGGGCCATGCTTCTGTATGGCTGGTCAACATGCTTAGTCACGCCAATTAATTAACAAAGCTAAAAAAAAAATCAAGCCTAAACTTAATAAGTCAGTGAGCATTTGATGGTTCTAAAATAAATTTAATTATCTCCTTTTTAACATCTCTGAGAAAACTGAGGATAAATGGTTCTGCAGATGCAGAACCTAATTATGTGGGGAAAACAGAAAGAAGTAGGTTTGTTGGTAAATATAACTGACTTAAATGAGTCTGAAAGCTAATGAAAATGTCCTTGAAAATATTTTTTTTTTAAGTGAGGCAATCAGGGTTAAGTGATTTGCCCAACATCACACAGCTAGTACGTGTCAAGTGTTTGGTCTGAGGCCAGATTTGAACTCAGGTCCTCCTGACTTCAGGGCCAGTGCTCTATCCACTGCACTACCTAACTGCCCCTCTTGAAAATATTTTTAAAAAACCATTTGCATGACTTCTTTAAACGTTAAGCACTTTTGGGCACATATATTCTACTCATCATAACAAAGCATTTTGCTACAGTTACAGAATTACTACATGTTTTATAAATATAATACAGTGCCATTCGTTTATCTTATAACCAAAAATTAAAAGCCCACACTGTGCATGGATACACAGCAAAATGTTTTATAAAATCTGAATATTCTTGATTCCACAAATGTACATACTTAAACATGTATTTGCTCTAATAAAAATGATAGCAACTGCAAGAGAGAAAATGGGAAAGAGAATAAAAAGAAGGAAGTGAGAAGCAAAGGATAACGAAAAACAGAAGAATGGAAAAACAGAAGACATGAAACAGATAAGGGAGACAGATATAAGAGAAGAAAGAAGGGAAGGAAAAAAGGGAGGGAAAACTAGAGAAACAAAAATGGAAGTAGGCGATGAAGAGAATATTGTAGCTCTTGAATATGAATTTCTCAAAATCTGATGATTTAAAAGTTTAGAATATAGGTATATTCTAGTACTTTTTTAAAAAAATTAACAATGATAAAGTTATTGAATAGAATTAAGAAAAATATTTTAATTTATAAACTTACCAGTAATGTCCTCTTGAATTTCATGGCTCAACTCTACAACAGAAATATCTGATTTAGTCTTCACTTCCATAAACCAAATTTTCTTTTAAATCATTGAATCTACAAGTACCCGAAGAGATCATCTTCATCTTAAGTTTTAGTAACATAATATGCTCCAATTTTCTTAAATAATAAATGACTTTGAGAGGTCAAAAGATATGAATTCTATTCAATCAAAATAGAGACCAAAACCATTGAAAACACTTTTCTCCAATATGTCAAAAAAAGTTAATATTTTCATTTACTATTTCCCACAATTTAAAGAGCCAATTCTCAATTCACAAGTGAATAATCCAAAGCTGCCTCCTCACTATTGTCCAGCTGAGGTGAAGACCACAGAATGAATGAAGAATGAGTCAGGCCCAAAAACAGAGGACTAAATGCCTGTAAGTACACATAAATTTGCTGTTCAATATACATATTCAAGCAAAAATAATTTCAATCTCTTTTCAATAATCTAAAATCAAACCTACTTCACTAGTATGAACAACTGAGGTGACTTTTTTGAAATTTTAGAACTTTTGATTCAATTTCAATAACAACAAATTCTATATCTTTTTTTAAATTTATGGGTAGGTGAATTGTTCAGCTATACAAGTAAGTTAGAACATATCTCATCCATTAAGGATATTGGAAAAAGATCGTTTTACAAAGAAAACCACTTCAATGCTAATGACTAACATATTCTGACAATACAACTGGAAACACAAGATAAGCCAACGTTCTTCTGAAAGATGCAGCCCATCAGGCTTTACATTAACATTGAAAAAACAGAGAGAAAGAAAGAAAACTAGATCAGTTGCATTTCTGCATGAGAAGTTTAAGACTGCCTGAAGTGTTTCTTTTAATCCTATGGGTATTTAAAAAAAAAAAAAAGATTAACTCAGACCAAGTGCCAGGCTGAAGACACTTCTTTAACAGAGTAAGGTGTAGTCAGCAATCTGATGCTAAGTCAGCAGAGACATCTTAGAGCTTCGGCCATGTTCTGCAAAAGTAAAATGCAATATTCTGTAACTAAGAATAGATGCTAGATGTACCATTACTAAGACTTCTCTAAGAAACTGAAATAATAGGGCATTTTTCTATAAGCATTTTGTATATGCATGTGAGTTCTATTGCTGGCTTCTAATTAGGTATATGTTACTTGTCTGCTCTCACGAATTACTATACTTTCATTTTCAAGTGAGAAAACGGTGAGAAATTAAAGCCAGAAGCACTAGAAATGGTTTTCAGAGAAGAAAACTGTGGTAAGAAGGAAAAATCTCATTTAGCTTGTTTCAGCTATCTCACTCATATCTGGTAACAGAGCAGAAGAGATAGAACAATAAAATGTCAGGATTTGGAAGAAGCAAGTTCAGCTGGAACACATGACAGGCACTATTTTTCTGAGGACTATAAGATTAAAAAAAATGGACTTCATTAATGTTGAATCAATAAATATTACTGATCTGGATTATACTTAATTTCTTCAAAATGTAAAGCTATAATGCTAACTTTATTGGCCCTACAGGGTACATGGGGAGAATAGAAAAGAACAAAAAAAAAGATACTGAAATTATTGAAAATTCCAGAATGATGAACAACCAATGGCCATAATTAACTTTTACTATAGATACTTAATTTAATTTTTATAGACTTAATTTTAATCAAGTTCCATTTCATTTCTGTATAAGAATTATTTTGATCAAAAGCACTAATGTGTTGTTTCTATTCAGAAATTTAATTTAATTTAAAATCAAATTAATTATCATATTTAAAACAAACTGCAGAGTCAGTATGTTGTAGTAAGAAAAGAACAAACCTTAAGCATCTGAGGGCCTAAACTGGGCCCAAGCTCTGACACGTGCTAGCTGTGGAACCATGGCACTCATTTTACTGAACTTCAGTTTCCCCATTTGTAAAATAGGGATAACAATACTTGCACTGTGTATTTTACAGAGTTATTGTGCAAAGACTGAGTAAAAATATTGTTTCATTCATAAAAATGCACTTACCAGTATGTAGAAGATAGGAATAATCGTTGATAACAATTTCTGCTCTAAAGCAACCATCTTGATAGTCAACTATTACAGACTCTGAATCCACATCCTTAGACAGAAAACAAAAATTTTAAAAGGTGATATGATTTGAACTTTTAAAAATCCTCAATGCATGAACTTTCCAATAAGTGTAGGACAGCAAAAAAAAATGCACTGAAAGGCAAGCCCTGGCTCTGCCAAACTAGGTTAGACACTTGGTCCCTCTAGGCCTCATTTCCCCTAACTGCAAATTAAGGAGAGTTTGAACTAGATCACTTCTAAAGTCCTTCCAACTAAATTCCAATAATTTTTTTTCTCAAATAAGGTTCATTAGATAGAACATTCATCCATTAAAGTCCCTCTGTGATACTCCCATAGGCAACTTGAGGTTCTCAGTGACAAGGCCAGAGAAGTTCAAGCTCTGACAGTTCTTAACAAACTGGAAAAACTTCAAGAAGAGGGCAAGGACCAGCCTTGCCAAATTCAAAGAGGTTCACCACCAGAAGACAACTTACTGATTAAGTAGGGAAGGAGATGGTGGGGGAGGGGGTGAAGTTGGCAGTAACTTGTGAGACCATCTATTAAGGCATAACTTTTCATCTGAGTTAGCAGAAGTACCCACAATTTATGAAATTCAAGAGCTTTGGAAGAACTGAAGAAGATTATTGACCTAAAATAAATAATTTATTCAAAGTATTTAGGTAAATGCTAAATAAAAGTAACAGTATTTGTAATTTGTAATTTGTAAGCATAAAGAGAAATCTACTTTTGGACTTTTAATCTCTTCTAGTTCACCAGGATGCCATCCAATCTCTCACAAACACGATTTGCTAGACTTGTGTTTCCCCAATAGCATTCTGTTCTGCTAAACCCTGAACTTTTCACCTGATTACACTGAGATTTACTAGGAAAACTGTGATGCTGGTGATAATTTTTCAGACACGAGGAAAAGGAAATGTTCTTCTTTTCTCCAAGTGTAATGAACAGAGGTAAAAAGCATGGCAGAACAAAGGATGGCAGTGAAGACAGGCAATAAGCAAGGAGTGGGCAGAGGTTTTTTGCCTCTGACTGCTACAGAAACAGGGGGCGCTAAGCTGTTGAAAGATCTAGCACAATTCGAACTGAGGTGAGAAAATGGTATAACTGGGGGCAAAGAAGAAGTAAAACACCCCGAATTTTTCTTTTCCTTTCTCTTATTACTTTGGCATTGTCTGTATTTTCAAAATTGGTTGATAAAGTAAATTAACTGCTCCACACAGAGATGAACGGCGAAGCAGCAAAACTGCCTACTTTCCTCTCCTGTTCTACAGCAGCATGGTATGGAGAAACCAGATTTCAGTCTGGGGGGTAGAATAAGCAATTTGGGGATTGATCTGAAAATGATGATTACATTTCATGTTTTGTTATTTGAGGTTTCTTGATATTATACTTTTAAAATTTTAAGTAAACTTATTTTTGCCCTAAAATCAATACCTTTGTTTTTGTATATCAACTTTTTAGAAAACCTACATTAATAGTGGGTTATTTCACCTGGGTTTCTTAGTTGTTCAATACTAAACTATAATGCTAGTTATGTTACCAGAACAGGTAAATCAATCCACTACTGGAGGCACAGGACCAAGAAAGAACATATTCCACAGAGGATCTAATAAGAACTTTTAGAACTTGATCCAACCCTGAATTAGTGAAAATACATTAAACATGGAGTATGATCTAGGTGCTGTGCGAAGGGTCAATAGTCTCTGTTCCAAAGAGGCCACAGAAGTAAAGTCAAAACTAATGACCAATAGAAGACTGGGTTGGAAAGATCTATCAAAATCCTTAACCTTTCAACAAGAAGGAAAAGTTATTAAAATTTCAATGTGCTGTAAAGAAACTATATAGAAACATTTTAGTGAAGTGACCACTTTCACAATGATCACAGCAGGGATTCTCAACTTGTTGCACAACAAGGTCCATGTACTCTCACCCCTATGTGGAGATTCAATAAAGTGTCTAAACTTGAAAATCAAGGGTACGGCTAATTAACTACATAGAAATCAATTAAATGCCTAAACGAGCAAACACACAGAGCAAAAAAAAGGTCCTATCACAAACCAAGTTTCAGGTATACTGAAACCAAAGTTTATAGTTTCCTTCTTGAGCTTAATGAAACTTTTCTTTCACTGTTATTTCTAGGACCATTAACTACAAAAAGCAACAAGTAGGAGAAACAAGAGATAATTTAATTAAAATTTCCAAAGGGTTTTTGCTGGTTCAAAAGAACATAACCCATTTTCAAAATACCATTAGGAAATATAGTGCTCAATTTGGCCCGTACTGTTACCTTGTCACAAAACTGATGACCATTGATTTATTAACTCGCAAAAGTACATACACAATTCATTTCCCATGATAATATATCATTTAACCTAGGCTTATAAAGTTTTCAAAAGATCTCATCAACAAAATGTTTTTAGAAATTCCTAGTTTTTATACCATGTGTACAATTAAACTTGATATATATTATCTGAACCATACTCTCCACCTAGGAATTTTTCGTTCCCACCCTAGCCCACAACATAGATCCTGCAACTCATATCCCATTAACCTAGAAAGGCAACATGACACAGTGTACAAAGCTGGACTTGGGAGTCAGAAGGATACATATTGAAGATTCAATCCTAACTCTATCTTTAGGTAAATCACTTAGATTTTCAGAGCCTTAGGCAATTAAGAATTATCAACTAAGTAACAATGAGTTACAATCTCTACCACTGAATGAAATTCCCACATTAACAACATCAAAGATCCTTTATCTAATATATATGTATATATTATAATACATGTTCACACACACACATATATATTCAGTTAATATACCTAAAGGCTATCAAGAGCAAGAGGTGGCAGCAGTAAATGTGTAGGTCCCTACCATCCATGTGACAGCTAGTCATAAGGGGCAGACCTTGTCTCTTTGACTCTGCCAGATGGTGGCTGGCAGGTCTTGTATAAGACAAGACAGAATTCTTTCTGTAAAAAGGTCAATTTTGCTATAAGACGCCAAGGGAACTAGGTTTCAAGCAGAAGTCAGCGCATGATCGTAACGTGAAGTCATGAATGGCTAGGATGGCTGACTTAGCTCTGTGACTATAGCAGGAACACCAGAACTTTATTGCTTCAGCTACTAGTTCTTGTCTTTTAAGATGCATAGCTCCCTGGAGTCTACTGGCTAGAGAATGGAAGACATGGGAATGTACTGATGCTCAATCTGTAGTCCAAGAGGTTATCTGAGCCCTCAGTGGCAGAATGATTGTAGAGAATCAAGGAAATAGCATTCCTCTGAGACCCTGGTTTCTCCTTCTTACAAGCTCAATTTGTGATCTGGAAGTCTGTTACTTCAAAGACTGCTTTAACTAACAAATATTCTCATTTGTTCTGCAAACTACAGTAACAGGGTTTTGTGGGATTTGAAAGGGGGAGGGCATTTATACAAATGAAATCTAAACAGGGAAAAAATACAAAATACCTCCTAGTCTGGTTTTTAGATTTTTCTCTGATTTCAAAGAAACATTTACCTTCTGTTTGGTATATATGACAATGGTGACTAAGGATTCTGTTTGGAACCAATCATAGCTGTAAAAGATTGTGAAGAAAAAATGTTTAGATCTCAATTTAAACAATCCTGTCCACAAGCATAAACCAAAATCATCAAACATCTTCATATTTTCAGTTTTCAGGAAAAAACACATTTTTTAAAACTTATACTCCACACAAAAACTACCTCTTCACTTTATTACATGATGTATTTAAATTATACTTTTTATATAAGGTCTTAGGCCAAGGTTGCTAACTAGATAAACACTTATCTATTCTCACTGAACAAATTTTCAAAATCTGAATGGTCTGCTTCTGTGTAGGGGTAACTTGGATTAAGCTCTATTAGAAATTTTTGACACTTTCATAGAAAGTGGAACTTACTAACATCTATTTCATAATGATAATTAGCAAATGCTCATGAACAAAAAATTTGGTAAGGGATTATCTTAACTCATAATCGTCCCATAACAAATAAATGACTAAGTCCCAGAGAAAATGACTGATTAAACATCAAGTTAATGCTAAGTTGTGAAATTTATTTTTCTGATCCTCAGAAACGAATACTGAAAAAAAAAAACCACTTTGAAATGGGCAGCTACTAAATACCTGTAAGTTTATGGTGCTCTAAGAAGTAAAAACAACAACAAAAAAAAAGAATGGGAATTGCTACAATATAGAGCAGAAGATTGTGTGTGTGTGTGTGTGTGTGTGTGTGTGTGTATTTATATATGTGTATGTATATATACAAAGGGAGTATATATAGTATACATATGTACAAACAGAGAGACAGAGAGACAAGAAAGGAGAGAGGGATCAGAGTAGAAGCTGTGTGTTATTCACTGGTGGTCAAGCTAGGACACAACTACCTTAAATCTTCAATATTACTGGCAGCATTTTTATATATGAATTATGCCTTTTCTTAAACGTTTAAATGATTTGTTGCCATCCCCTTGGATATAAGGAGTAAACATTCTTAAAATGTTTTTAGAACAACTCTTCTGGAATTATTTGCAGAACAAGGTTTAATCTTTCCAATATTTTCAATCATAAAAAAAATTTAAAGTTCTTTGTAAACTTTAACTAACTACAAAAGTAGTAATTAGCATCTTCAACATCATCATCCTCTGAAAACAGACAGCTAAAAATCATTTGGTGCCAAATCTAAGCAGTAGGGTAGGTAATTAGATTGAGTAATACCATTTTTGGTAAAAATACAAACAAGATGTGATCAGACTGATAATTTTTCTATGGTTCATAAATTGGCTGAGTAGACAATTCTAAAAGAATTTCAAAAAGTCTGGAGTAATGGCAGCAATAACAAAATCTACAGTGAATATACTGAAGAGCAATACTAATTTGGATTTTTAAAATCTGATACATTTGTTGCCCTAAACAGTTCTGTTTGTAATCCAATTTCATAAGTGTATTTTTGCCTGGAGAGCCAGGGAACCTACCTCCCTGAGTGTTGAGCTACAGTCGCTGGTTCAGAACACTCAATGGACAAATGAAACATCAGTCCTGTGATTACTCTTGGATCTAAGAGAAACTTACCTGTCATAAATGGGCAAATTTACAAAGAATCTTTAACAATATCAGAAATGTTTCCATTTGACTCCTTTGCCAGTAATGACTGACATTAATAAAGTACTTTAAGGTTTGCAAAGCATTTTATGTATATTTGATCTGGTAATACAGCTATTATTATTATTATTATTATTATTATTATTATTTTCAGAGCAGCTATGTGACTTGTCCATGGTCACATAGGAAATACTTGTCAGAGGTGGGATCTGAACTCATCTCCCCTGACTCTAAGTCCAGCACTCTTCCCACTATTACTGCAGTACTTCCTTTTAGTCACTCATTACACTGCCCATGAAGAAACTCTGTCCACGTTTCCAATGTGGTGAGGAAGCACTTCAACTCATAAAAGATAAAAACCATTTCCCACATTTTCAACATAGAACTATCTGAAAAACAAGAGAAAAAAAAAACAGAAACAAAGAAAACCTTCCAAGTTTCAAAGCAAAATAAAACTTAGAAGGATACTTAAATCAATTATGAGACCATCTATATGTCTTTAATGCTGTCATTTAATCAAGTCATCAAGAGTACTAAAAAAAGAAAAACTACTTATCTGGTAGCCCAGTTTTCCATCATTCTCAACTACTCAAAATACAACCACATGGTAAGAAATAAGCAAAAAGATGTTTTCATATCACGAAAACCTTTCCACAAAGCACATGCTCTTTCTGCCACAATGGAGGTATGGAGTCTTTCTAGTCTTTCACTAGAGTCAAATGTCTTAGAAGTAACTCAAGGAACTTTGGTTATCTAGCATTCCTATAATAGATAATGGCTTTGAAGCAGATGAGGAACAGAAATGTTGGGAACCCTGGGAGGAAATGATTACACCAACTTCAACAATTCAATATGCATTCAAGAAAAATGTGTTAATTATGTATTATGATGATTTTGTGCCAGACACTCAGAGTTCTTAACAGGTTAAGAGGGGAACACTTATTCTGCACGTGTCCTAGACTTTGGCAAAGTTGAATTTAAAGAGCTGAAAAGCAAGGATGATAGGCTTTAACAGCCTATCCATTTTTACAAAGGAAGTTAGCTCTGATGACCAAAAAATAAACTAATATGATAAGGAAGAAAAGAAAGCAATAGCTATAAAGTAGATGAATAAAAAACTCGTTGACTGACCACACAAGAGGCTGAACCTGGGACAACAGAACAGAAAATGAATACAAAAGAGTGATACAGATCTGTAAAATTATCAAGGCTGTTAAAATCTAAAACAACCTTAGGCTTGTGCTAAATGCTAAGGGCAACAAAAAGAGTTTTATAGCTAGACTAGGACAAGAGGAAGATCAAGAAGGCAGACCACTTGGGACAATGAACGAAATGACAAATGATAGACAAGATAGACCGTCTCAAACTCCTATTTTCTTTCTGTTTTCTCTAGCAAGAAAACAACTGTCAAAATGGGACAAAAACAACAAGAAAGTTAGGAGGAAATTAAAACTAAGGATTTATTAGATAATATTAAGAGAGCCCACATCTAGGTACTTTCAATAAGTTTGAGTAATTAGGCTCGGAAAAATTACATTCTGGGGAATTAAAAGAATTTACAGATGTGGTCGCTTAACAGCTGATCATTAGAGAGTCATAGAGAAATGCAGGTGATATGAGCTAGAAGACAGGAAAATGACATCTCAATTTTCAAAGAGGAAAAACAGATTTTTAAAACTATAGAGCTTCTTTTCAATTCCTAAATAAAATCTAAAATGTATTACAAATAAAACGTTTTGTGAGCACTTAGAAAAATGAACAGCACAATCACTGAGGCAGCATAGAGTCATAAAGACTTGGTCATACAATCTTTGGGCACATAACCCCCATGAAGGCCAAAGACAAAAACAAAGGGCCAACATGTAATGAAATATTCATACCGGCATCCTCATGGTTGTAAAAAGCTGTAAACAAAATGCATGCCTGCTAATTTGGAAATGGCTGAAAAATGGCTGCAAAATGGCTGCACAGTAAGAAAAAATGAATATGAAGAATTCAGAGAAATATTGGAAGGTTTGCATGAACTAATGCAGAGTAAAATAAGAACCCAAAGAACAAAATACAATGACTATAACAATGTAAACGAAAAGATCGTTAAAAGGAAACTAAATTCTGAGTAACTGAAAAACCAATGAATAGAAAAGATAATAAAACATAACTTCTTCCTTGTGCAATGAGGTGAGGAACTTTGAAAACAGAATACTACACACTCTGTCAGATATGGTCAATGTATAGGATATTTTTACTTAATTGTTTTTGTCATAAGGAAGGGTTCAGTGGGGATACATGGGCTGAAATGACTGTGATACAATGACAAAAGGCACCAATAAAACACTTTAAAAAATGAAGCCATGTAAGACTAATCTCATCTCTCTCTCTCTCTTTTTTTTTTTGACAGAGTACCTAGACCAGTGAGAGGAAAGATGGCATGGCAGACAGAGCCATCCTACAAATCAGGAAGACTTGGGTTCAAGTCCTTCCTCCAACACGTACTACCTATGTGCTTCTTCGTAAGTCACTTAAGTTCTAAGTACCTGAAGCAACTAAGGCCATAAGTGATATAACAGTTACTAATCTGCATAGGTAGAAGAAATTTCCTCATGGGGAACTCCCTACATCGGTGAAATCACAGAGATCTGGGGTGGGGGGAGGGAGGGAAGGACTTTCATTCAGCCCTCCTACTAACTCCACCCAAAACAATAAAACTTGTCTGGAAAATCTTAATGACAAATCAATCATCACCACCAGCTCACATTTACTTTATGTTTTAAAAGGTGCTTTCTTCACAACTCTGTGATGTGGGTAGTGCAAGTATTATATTCTTATTTTAGTAATACAGGAACTCAGGCTGAGAGAGAGAAAATTACTTGCCCATACGGCAGACACATGACATACAGATTTTCGGCAAGGCATCTGACAAAAGTTTCTCATGATATTCTTGTGGACAAAGTGAAGAGAGTTATAGCTAGATAACAAAATTATTTAGGTGGATCTATAATTGGTTGAATGACTGACCCCAAAAGTGGTGATTAATAGAATGATGGAAAATCTCTAGCAGAGTGACACAGGGTGCAATCTTTGGCCCTATTCAGAAAGCTTATCAAATTGGTACATGCATGAGCTAATACATTAAATAACAGAATCATTATATAAAAAAAAATTGACAGACTAGACTCAGCCAACTCTAATAAGATAGAATTTAACAGGAATAAGGTTAAGTCTTGTACTTGGGTTCAAAAAAATAAATTGTGAAAGTACAGCATGAGGTAAAAATGAGTTACCAGTGTGACATGTGACATGACAATAACATGTCATGTCCTCCCCCCCAATAAAAGGCCTTTAAGCTCTATCAGCAGAAGGAGGGAGGTGATTGTTTCACAGTCTTGTGCCCTGATGAGGATGCATCTGCAGCATTAGTTCCAGTTTGGACACATCTTAGGGGTGGGGATGCAGCAGCAATATTAACGGCCTAATGGAACACTAAGGTGGCAAGAAAACTCTTAAACTATGCCATTTCCAGGGTCAGGTGAAAGAAATGGGGAGGTTAGCCTAAAAAATAAAAAGGTTTCAGCTGGTAGAAGAAGTTCATAATAGTAGTCTTCAAATAAATGAAGAATGTACTACCATACAGAAAGGGGATTAATTACATCTTCCCTAGCCCCAGGATCAAAAAGGAAACTTCAGTTCAATTTAAGGGGAAAATTCCTAACATTTACCTCTGTAGTGAATTTCTATTCAAGTGTTGAAACAGAGGTTGGATGACCATAAAGTGATGTCATCAAGAGGATAGCTATACTTCAGATCAATACGAACTAAATGGCTTTTGAGGTCCTCATTAACTCAGCCTACAATTCTAGAAGCATCAGGAAAGGGCTAATTGAAGTGAGAAGAATTACAGAGAGTCGATAGAAAATTATGAAAAAAAGTTTAATTTTGCTCAATATATTGTTTAATAATAATAAGGGACAGAAATGTGCAACACACCTTAGAAAGATTTCCATGAAAAATAAAAAAATAAGTTTCATCACTTAAAAGGAAAATTTTAATTTATTTGGAATATTCACTTTAAGGAATATCTCATTATCCCACAACATAAAATAACTGAGGACTTATTGTATATATTTATTGTATGATAGTAATAGTAGGTGAGATACATTTTAATACATTATTGTGTTTGATAAATTATTTTAAAAATTTTTATACTGGAAATGTGAAGAAATTCTCAACTCACCATATGCACTTTGTACTAAATAAACTCATATTTATTTGACTCAAAGTGAAATCACAATACATACCTTGGAGAAATTTCTTTGGCAGGTAAATCTGGTAGTTTGCTTTTGAGAAGTATGCCTATAAAGAGAAACTTTTTTAAGGAATGGAAATTTCACCAACATGTTATTCTACTAAAGCAAAATTAAAATATGTGAAATTATACAGAATAAATTTTAAAAGTTGAAGACCCAAGTGAAGATGTACACTTCAAGTGCACATAAGGTGGCATGGTAACTCTGGGTTTTTGAAAGTTAAGTCAGTGACACACAATCTCTGGCATTTTCTATCAAGTTTTGAGCACAAGCTCAGAGATGAACTTTTGTATGTGACTTTAGCCCAGGTTAGATAAGTCTGGAAAGGCTCAACACCAGATACTGGCAAAGAGATGATTTTTTTTTTCTGCTGTAGCAGCTCAAGAAGACAATTTATCAAGGTGTAGAAGGCCTGTGTAATCTGAATTGGTAAAAGGAGTAACCACACTAATAACATAATCCTGAAGTATTCATTTCTGTGGGAACCACAAAAATTAAAAACAATTACTTCTAAAATGACAAGCAAAAAAAGTTCCTTTATGTTAGAATTTTAACAACCTTCAATCTATTTCAGGAGTGTTTCTATTTTTAAGGATCCTAAAACCCCTAAAAATGCAAATATCAGGAATATATGCATCACTGCCTAAAATTATCTTCTTCAATGGATCTGCAAACTCAGCAGTCAGAGCTCTCTGCTCTACGTCATGCTGATTTTTCTATTATTCACTTATTTTTCAATTATGTGATAGTAGTTCTCAGAATTCTACTTTCACTCATTTGACATCATTCACACACACATAAAACCTTATGATGTCACTACAGTTTAAATGTTCATTTACATGCTAATAAAGACTCAAACCAGAAACGTAAAATATGCCTTAAAAGACCCACTTTTTGGTAACATTTTAGACCACTTCATAGACTACCATGAAAGCACTGAGCAACACTGATCTATTTCCAATATTAAAGTTGTTTTTTTTCCCCCTTTTCTATGAGCATTCCTTTGGTTTCACAGGCTCAGCTTGTTTCATATAACATTCTCATTATAGAAGCTACTTTCCAGTTCCTAGAATTGAACAAAGTCCAATGTTACTTTTATTAATAAGCTAGTGTGGCATTTCTGGTGACATTTTCAGAATATTAGCACAATAATACTATCATTTTCTTTCTTACATATAGGGAAATTAAAATTAGTAACATGTAGGCAATTTATATACATATGAAAATAAATAATATGAAAAAAAACCTCTTTATTGGAAAAGACTATATTTAGAAATACGAATGTGGGAGTTTGTTATTGATGTACCAAATAACAATGGTTGTTAGCAAATGCATGAGGACCATAAGTCCAAGGCAACATTTACACTAATTTCTGAAAAGGTAGCATACTGACCACATAACACAAGCTTCATATTACCAGAATTTTGTCCTCAAAAGAACAAAAGGATATTGGTCATAAAATAAAAATATAATAGTTGAAATAACTAAAAAGTGAAGGAACAGATTGTGAACTATTTTTTCAATCTCAAATAAATATTTTCCTTTTCATCTATGGACCTACTGTTTTAGGAAAAAATGAGTAGCAGGGATGGTAGAAAAAAGTCTGAAGTTAGAGGTCCTGTCTCCAAACCCTATCTCTGACTTTCTGCATGACCTTGGGTAAATTAATTAACTCTCTGTGCCTCAACTTCCTCATTTATAAAAAGAGGAGCTAGGCTAGATGACTTTTGGGGTCCCTACCACCTCTAAATCTATGATCCTATGTAAGAATAATGTTAGGAAAGTTAAGGAGTTAACTAAGGCACAGGAAAACTGCCAAAGACAACAAACACATCTTTTTAAAGTCAGAGCAAGAAAAATAAACATCAAAATGAATATAGAAAAGATAGGCCCAGTGCAGGGAAGATGGTCCAAAGTTGAGAGATAAGAGAGAGAAGGCAAAATTACTAAACTTCTATTTTGCTCTGAGAAAGGAGACTTGTCTTCAAATTGAAATGAGTACAACAAACACAATAAACATATCATTATAAAAGATACTATTAAATATTATATAGTCCAGCACAAGTGAGGAGAAAGTAAGTGAACACTGTGAAATACTAGTGAGTCAATGATATTACTTCAAATAAGCAGTAGTTGTTGGTGGTATTATAAAAGAAGTTTGTATATGGGTCAAAGATTTTATCATCTGTCTGGTCAAGCCTAAAATTCTAGGATTCCTAGTTTTGTTAAGCGCATGTAAATGACATTAATATAAAAAAAATTACTCAAATATCAAGAAGACAAACTTGGTTCCAAAGGAGTCCACAGAAATATCATCTTCCATAATCTTCTTTGTAAAGACTTACCATTTAAAGGTTTCTTCTCATGATTCTCTAAAAGGAAATACAAAAGATAAATAAAATTTTTAAAGGATCCTATATTAGGTAGAAAGTGAGCAAATATCAGAATATAAGACAACGAAAAAGGAAATCAGCTTTGAGAATGGACATGCTTTAAAATCAAATCTGAATCAAAACACATTTATAAGAATTAAATTAAGTCAGGTAGCAAAAGAAATTCATTCTACCTAACAGTTAACTAAGCATTAAGAACTCAACTGTTCTTTCAAAGTAGGCTCATAGTATCAAAGATTTAAAGAAAGGAAGGACTACAAAGGTCATCTATTCTAATCCTCTTGTTTGCATATGGGAAAACTGAGTCTCAGAGAGCTCAAGTGACTTGTCCAATGTCACAGAGAGTAAACAGGAAAACTGAGAGTTGAAACAATATGCCCTGACTTTAAACCCGGCACTCTGTCCACAGCACCACACATTCTTTGTCTCTCAAATATCCACACTGTCCATAAAAATCTAACATATCCATATTTTTAAATGCTCCAAATTGCTAATGGAGAAAGGCAAATCAAAGGAATTCTGAGATTCCATCTCACACTCTGATGAGCGGCAAAGAAGACAAAAAAGGAAGGTAATTCAATTTGGGGAGGCTATGAAAAGACAGAAATATTTATGTGCTTCTAGTGGACCTGTGAAAGTATATAACCATTCTGGAATGAAAATTGGAATTGTACACAAAAAAGTTATTTAAAAATGCATGTCCTTTGACCCAGCAACAGCACTGCTAGATCCATACCCAAAAGAGATAAAAGAAATAAGAAAAGATGTGCTCACTTTGGCAGCATATATAGAAACTGGAAAAAATCCTATACGAAAAATATTTATAAAAACTCTCTTTATGGCAAGAGAAAATTGGAAACTAAGAGAATGTGTCCAACAATTAGAATAATTAAGGAACAGCTGAATAAGTTGTGGTGTATGAACATGATGAAATACTACTGCGCTGTAAGAAATGAGGAAACATAATTTCAAAAAGATCATTGAAAGATTTATATGAACTGATAACAAAATGAAGTAAACTAAAACAATTTACACTATAACATCAATATTATAAAACTGAATTAATTTTGACGACTTTTATAAATTGATGAAGAATGAAATTAGCAGAACCAGGAGAACAATTTGTATAATAATAACATTGTAAAAAAAATAAATAAATAAAAAACCCAGAACCTTGAAAGCTGTAAGAATACTAAAACTATTTATGATTTCAGAAGACTGATAAAACTTGTTCCCTATAACAGAGACGTAATGGATTTAGGATGCAGAATAAGACATATTCATACAAACATACACATATATACACAGTGAGAAAATTTCTTTTGTTTGACTACGTATAGTTGTTAGAAGAAATTTGTGTTTTGTTTTTTTTAATTGGGTGGTTAGAAGGGAGAGAAATAGATTTCTGTTAAGTTGGATTTTTTTGTTGTTGTTGTTCTTGCTGTTTTTTTGGTGAGGCAATTGGGGTTAAGTGACTTGCCCAGAGACACACAGCTGGTGAGTGTAATGTGTCTGAGGCCGGATTTGAACTCAGGTCCTCCTGACTTCAAGGCCAGTGCTCTATCCACTGCACCACGTAGCTGCCCTGTTAAGTTTTTTTTAATAGAGATGTGAAGTTACTACTGGTATGGAATGTTGCATGTATTTTCAGATGAAGTCACCATATTATTAATTCTCAACTTTTTTACTTTGTTACAAGGGACTTCTCATGAAGTGAGAGTAATCTGTAAACAGTTGTAGTATAAAAATAAATAAAACAAATAAAACAAAAACAAAAAAAAACTAATGTAACAAGATGATCAACTAGTAGTCCTTGATCAGTCTGAAGCAGTTCAAAGGTATTAATGAAAGCAATGCTACTTTGATTCCTTCTCTGAATTCAAGATATTCCCTAACTCAACCTAGGCCTATAGTAACAAAATGATATTGGCATGTGTTAGAAACACTTTACATAATCCTGATATGTATAACTATTAAATAAAAGTTTATGAAAATAAACTGTGCTCCATAATATTCCATATTTGAAAAGAGCTTCTAGATACCATATAATGACAACTGTATAGGTCAATTTCTTCACTGGTAAAATGAAGTGGTTCTAAAACACTTCCAGTTAAAAATAATAACAATAATGATAGCTAATATTTACATAGTATTTTAAGATTTATAAAGCTCTTTACATCTACTATCTCATTTGATCCTCAAAAGAGCCCTGTGAGATACAGGCTACTGTCTACATTTTACAGACAAGGAAACTAAGGTTGAGGGAGGCTGACTTGCTCAGATTCACAGTTAGTTAAGTGTATGAGGAAGGATTCAAACTTAGTTCTTCCTTATTCCAAGATCAGCACTTTCTCCACTATGTCACCTCACTATCTCTATTGGTCAATAGTTCTAATTTGAGGCAAAATATAATCTTAATTGCAGATAAAACTTTAGTGTGGCTATCCACGATTATCACACTTTAAGTTGGCAAAGTATAAATTGGTGATTTACCACTGCTATCTATAGACTATAAATCATGACTACTACCTTAAAGCATTATATAAATGTGACTATTATTATTGATTCACATTCAAAAGAGCAGATTGACTCATTAATCATACTGCAGCATTTTAATTCAATAAATATTTATAAAATGACTATTTTGCACAAAATGCTGTGCAAAATGCTTAAATGAAATAACAAGTTTAAATAAGTCATGTTCCCTGCTCTCTTGGGGTTTACAGTCTAATAGAGGAGGGAAAGGGAAAGTGGACAGCACATATACAAATAATGGAAGTATTTAATAATACATCATATTAAGTACAGAAGAAACAAGCAAAATGCTATGTTAGATATAAAAAGTGAAAGGACATTACTAACAGGGAAACTGGGCTCTAATTCACAAATACATGGAGGGGAGAATGCTGCAGCAAAAGGATTTCTAGGAGGATAGAATGTAAGGACAGATAGTAAACTACAGAATGAAGGGCATATGACCCAGTTTGGTTGGAGTGGAAAGTATACAGAAGGGAGCAGTATGAGGTCTGGACAGAAAACAAGAAGAGTTCAAATTGTAAAGGTTCTTGAATGTCAGGCAAAGGAGTTGGGCCTTTGGTATGGGGTATGAGGCGCTGTGCTCTATAGAAATAATTGGGGGGGGGGCAGGTCATAGGCTCATAGGGTCACGACTTACATCTGAAAGAAACAGAGTGGTAATCTTAGCCAGCTCACTCATTTTAGAGATGGGAAAATGGAGAGCCAGAGAAAGTGAGGGATCTGCTCAAGAACTCTTCATCAGTTAATGGATTTGTAATCTCCATGTTGCCAATGTTTCCTTCAGTGAAACAGATTACAACCTGTCTGTAACTGTCCATCGAGCACAACTCTCAACCAATTCCCATCCATTCACCATCGGGAGTACCAAAACCAAAGACCACCTGCCTTCTACTTGAAGGAGGGGGCAACTGTTACATAGATAAGTTAGGTAGAGGGACTGGATCTGTGATTTCATTGGTAAAGAAACTTCTGGATGAAAGGGGAAACTCCCTTTACTAATACAGACTGGCACCTTCTATGCAACTTAAGAGTGTCAGACCTGACTAGAGAGAGAGACTTGACTAGATCATTACTGAGGGGCTCATACACAGCGCTTCTTAAACTGTGGGTCATGGGCCTACATGGGGTCGCAAAAAATCTGGCAACAGTAAAAGGTTTCTGAATGCACAAGAACCAAGAATTAATTCAAAATCAAATGCGTACTGAATCTGAGGTGTTTCTGGCAGCACTTGCCTGTGCTGCATTGCACAACTTTACAGCAGCCTTAGTTCTGAAAACAAAGCATGCACACTTTGCACTGTACATGCCCTTAAGCTACACAACACCAAGAAAGCTGCCAAAATGCAAAAGTACCGTCTGAGGATCTTGGGACTGAAGGTGAGAGGGGCACTGTTCTCCCCGCCCCAACCCCCACTCCCACTACTCCTAATGGTATTTCTCCTGTATCAGTATTTCTCCATACTGTTTCCCGACATAAAAACAAAAACAAAAGTTGGATGAACCAAATTGTATAACTTAGACTGGATGGAAGAATACGGGATAATCATGTGAAATCTGAGACATGTAGTAGCTTTAAAATATCACAATTTTTTTTCTTAAGAACTCAACAACAAGAATTGATCTTTTAAGTACGAAGAACAAACTAGTAATACTACAGTCAGGAAAAAAAAAAAGGAGGCACAAAAACCTGATTACAGGTTAACAAAACTACCTTTTTACAAAATCACAAAATATCAGAGTTGGAAATCAGTGGCAGTCAATGAACAGAAACAAGTTTTTCTTGGTCTATTCATCAAGATAGATTTATTACAGAACATATTTTATACAAATATTTAGAATCAAGACTTGTATTCAAGCAAAGAATTTAATGAACTAGGTTGAAGTAACCATTATGAGGAATAAAAGATAAGAAAAACAAATGAGTCTCCTACGTCCACCACATAAAAGAATCAAGGTCAAGGGCTTTTTATAAGTCATTAAAAAAATCATTCTAACTGTACTTTCGAGTCTTCTTTGGAGGAGAAAAATTGCCATAGGAATAAACATTCCTTTCTCTATCCTTACAACCAAATGGAATGAAGGTTTAAGGGAAGTGGGGGAGCCATGCCACCTTTTTCACATCAGTTTCTCCCACCCTTGTCCATCCCTGACATATGATGAGAAAGAGAAACAAATGTTTTTTATGAAGTGTGGGGCTGCTGGAGAGGTAATGTTCTAGAGTTTTCTGCCTGCTTTGCTCTGATTCTACGAATTCATAATTAATGTAATGGTGAGTTTTAGAATTACTATATTTATGTCTTATTTAAACTCCATCTCTTCCAAGGGCAGCTAGGTGGCGCAGTGGATAGAGCACCGGCCCTGGCGTCAGGAGGACCTGAATTCAAATCTGGTCTCAGACCAGACACTTGACACCTACTAGCTGTGTGACCCTGCGTAATCACTTAACCTGGACTGCCTCACCAAAAAAAAAAAAAAAAAAAAAAAAAACCACACACCTCCATCTCTTCCACCAGCTAGCACAATGTTCTATAAAAAGTATGCATTAGTTGGATGTGAATATGAAAAGCAAACACTAAAAATAATGCAGTCATTACAGAAGTACAATGGATCTTGCTTCTATATACTAACATCACAAATCTTAACAATCAGCTTTCCCTCTGGAAGAGGTCAAAATATAAAAATACAAAGAGCTTAAGAGAAACATTCATGCATTTTTCACCCAAAGTTAGTAAAAGTAAGAAAAAAAAAGATATAACTGTTACCTTGGTAGTAAAAGTGAAAGTAGAATAAAGATTTTCTGTGTGGCACTTCAACTCTAAAACATCAAAGTATATCTAACACAACATACCTTTAGCAACCGCAACAGGCTTGACGGCCATTCTGCCAACAAGACATTCTTTCAGCATAGATTCATAATTGACCCAACGATGTACCTGAAAAGGGAAATAATCAGTGCAAACAAAACATACTTATAAGACCTCATTTTAAATGAGGGCACCATCTAAGATAGCCAATCAACTAAGAATTTTCACCAAATAATTTAAATGCTGATTCTATCAAAGAAAATGAGTGGGGAGATGAGGGATGGGAAAAGAGAAAAAAGATCTTCACTTGAAAGTAATATTTTTCTAAGATAACATTGTCATTGAAATAATATTTTTATGCATAGTGAAAATGTTAAAACAGCTAAATGTATCAACTTAGCTTTTTGAATCATAGATTTTTTAAAAAAAATCAAGCACATTACAATGCTCCATAAATGAATCCTTACAATCCAGAATGGGAAACAAATTTGACATTGATATGGATTTCACCAACAAAACAGAAAATATAAGAACTATTTCCTAGGATTAAAGTAAAGCTTTTTAACAGAACTGATTAATCAATTAAAGGCTTACTTTTACTAAAGAAAGATGAAATGAAGATTTATGAAACTTCACAAGATATCTTTTCCCTAGTTTTCTCAAGGACTATTCTCCATGAAAATTCTAATCAGCACATGTTTATCTGACATTCATTTATTAACTTAAACATCACAATGATAAAACTGGGCATAATCTTTGGTAAGGTAAAATTAAAAGTTCATAATTATAAGATGAAAAATTAGGGGTTCAAGACCATCACTTCATAAAACAATAAAGTTGCTGACAGCAGTACTAAGGTAGCATTAAAATAAGAAAGAATTAAAAAACAAGCAGATTTGTAGACCCCTTGAGATCCACAGCACAGATAACAACAAAGCAGTCACTAATTTTTATGCAACACTTAAATAAATGACCCTGTAGTACCACAGTTAATTTAGCGTGCTCTCAAAATTCTCTGCTCTGGGCTACCGAATCAGCACATTAAGGTGACCTCTCCAGTGAGTTTTGTTTCTACCTTGTTTTGTTTTGTTTTGTTTTTTCCTTATGACTGGCCTCCAGTTCTCTTAAAGATGGTCACATGGCAACCTATCTTTTGACTACTAACAGCACAAACTGAGTATCATTGTTAAGTCCAAAAGAGTTGCTTATAGCATTCCCACTAACTACCCTAAGGCTCTGAAGTGCTTTAAAGAAGCAAAGAGCTTCATACAGGTATAAGAACATACAGAGTTATTTACTCCTATGGTGAATGAAACTGATGAATAATTTAAACCTCAATAGCCTTGTTGGTCAAGTAGAAAGCAATTGTCTAGCAAATGAAGATGTGGTCTGAATTGCTAAAGATGGTAACTGTAATAGCAGTTCCAGTGGCTCCTGCAAAACAGCTTCCTCTATCCAGTACAGTTCAAAGAAACAAACGTCTTATAATATTAGGGTATAAGATTCTTTTGCTGTGCTCTGGCATTTTTGGATCATTTTGCAGCTTGTGGAAAGTATGAGCCATATGTCTTGAAGGTATTCAGTAAGAGGCTCAAAAAAATAGATATATAAACAAAGTAAACCATACAAAGAAATCTTTCAAATTCTCAGTAATGTTTCCCAAAGCCCCCTACTTGGTTTGCATCCCTAGCTATCAACAAGTCAAATGCCACCTGGAAACATTCCTAATAAGCTCATAAGAGTTTCTCTCAAGAGAATGGTATCAAGATTAATGTGCAGCTGTGGTTTCTCTCCAGTCCGAGAAGGATATTAATAATTCCCAGTCCCAGAATTTGTCGGAGATCAAAAGGGGTCCTGCCAGCCAGTCAATGAACAACATCCTCTAGCTGTAATGAATTTCTAAATGAAAAATAGTCTCAGTTATCTAAAAATAAGATAAACTAAAAAACAAAAAAGGATAAAACCAGAAAATTCTACATCCACAAGTAATTACATAGATTTCTCTCTCTAAATTTAAATGTTTTTCTAAAAAAAAGGCCAAAGTCAGCAAGATGTCACTAAAGATTAACCATTACCAAAACAGTAATTAGGTATAATTTAACTAAATAAAAGCCAGGCTATATTTGGTTGACTGGCCCCAAAGAAACAAGCAAAAAAATAAATCCTAATTATAATAGCAAAAGAAAATAATAGAGGAAAAACAGATAAACTAAACTTAAACAAAAAAAACTATAATAGCCTTTAAAAAATTAATTCAGCTACCTCTCTTAATAACAAGACAGCACTGTAACAAACATAAATCACTACTATCACAAGACTATGTACAAAGCAAATGTAAGAAAAACAGCTTTCCATAATATATTTTTTCCCAAGAATTGGACCATAGGATTTGATGCTAAGAAGGGGTCATATGGAATCATTAAGTTTCAAAAAGCCATTTCATCATACTGACATTAACTAACCTCAAGACCTTAAAATAGTCTGATTTCTTTTCCAACCTCTCCCAAGGTTTTTCTCTGCTCTCTATATGGATTGCTAGGAATATTTTATAAAAGAATATTTTTATTATTTTTTGAGGTATGCAAACAGAATTCCATTTCCCTCAGAAATACTTTTAAATTTCTAGTAGGCATCCAGCCTCATTAGACTCTAAATTTAAGAGTCCTCTTCAGTCACAATATTCCATTACTTTTAGCATCTTACCTGATCAAAAAGGTCTGTACCATCTGAGCCTGCTGCTCGCATCAGTTCATCCTCCCCACCTGGGTGATATTCCATATATGGACTAACATTATAAACAAGTCCTGTATTAATACAAAAAGAAATATCATAAATCAACTGATTTAAAAGTTAGTAAAATAAGGTACTTTGAAAGGCTCATTTTAAAAAATCACAGAATTTACAATCTTGATAACTTCAAGAAGGTATATGATGAAAAAAGGCTACTTTTAATTTTCTAATAAATGTACTGACTCCAATGTCTGAAAGACATCTGAAAAAGAAAGGAACAAATAGCAGTACCACATATTACTATTCACTCTTCACCTTCTGCCATCATATGAGGCTATGAAAGGCTAGTAACAAGAACTAAACTCTCTCCCTTAAGTGTGTGGCAACGCTGCAGACACAAGGTTCTGTCCTAAGCCCTCTTTTCTTCTCTCTTCACACGCTCACTGAGTGACTTTAAAGCTTCCATCATTTTAACTGTCACCTCTATGTAGATCACTCCCTTATCTACAGGTCCAGTTCCCATATCTCCCCTGAAATGTAGTACCACATCACCAATTTCTAGTGGACATTTCACACCGGATATAAACTAAACATGGCCAAAACTGAACTCATAAGCTTTCTCTCCAAACCCTCTCCTTTTCCTGCCAAAGGCATCAACCACCATGCTTGCAGTCTCCCAGGTTTGTAACCTTGACATTATCCTTCACTCTCTCTTACTCTATATATCCAACCAGCTGCCAACCTCGAAGTTTCTACCTCCACAATATCTCTTTGAATCCAACCTCTTCTCTCTACTCACATACTTTATTTCAGGTCCTCATAATCTCTTGTCTAGATTACTGTACTATCTTCCTAATTGGTTTTCCTGTCTCAGGTCTTTATATTAATTCTCTTTATTCTGTATATACATATTTATATGTTTGTTTTATTCCCCATCAGAAGTAAGCTCCTTGTGAGAAGTGATTGTTTGATTCTTTGTACATGTATTCCCAGAGCCTAACATGATGCCTAGTACAAAAGTAGATGCTTAATTTTTATTAATGAATAAATTTAATTAGCTAATTTCATTAAATCATTGGTTTGATTGGCCTCACAAGGTATACCAATAGTGCAGGGGAAAAAATGAATTATTTACCAAAATGACAATGAGCCCCAGCTCTCAGAAAGGAACAAAGTCCATCAACAGCACTAAATAAGAGGCCTCAGCATCCTAAACCACTGTGATCTTATAACTCTACCTTGCATTACTACCTCTTAACTTTCAGGGAAAATTTCACTGAATTTGATTATCTATATTCATATTATTTCTCCTCAATGAGGTGTGGGCTCCTTAAGGACAGGAATTGATGGGGAATCCACTGCCTGGCATAAGCAACTCATGAATGCTTGTTGAAAGTAGAAAAGGGAAAAAACCGGCTCACTGCTACGTAATCATGACAAGCAAACTTGACCCCAGAAGAGAGGTAAAAAAAAAAACTGCATCTCTGTCCTTTGAGTTGAGAAGTAAGGGGGAACTGTGGTTCTCCATGCCTATCCTTACTTGTTAATCCTAACCCATGTTGCTAATGTACAGTATTGTATACATTGTCAAATGTGATCACTATACTGGTTGACTTTGTTAAACTGTTTTACTTCGTTATAAGGGAAGGTTCACTGGTGTGGTATATTAAAAACAAAAAGCATTAAGAACATTTTTTTTAAAAAAAGAAAAATTGTACGCTTAATATGACCCTCTACTTTGTTCAATTAGTCATATTCTACAATTGTTTCTTAATAAAACTCTGACTTCAATGCCTCATGGCAGAATGAAGGTGATCATAACTAATCAAAAGCTATGATAGAGTATGTACTTTTAACAAATGGTATCAAACTGAAAAGGCTTCCAATGCAAATACAAGCCTGGTGCTAGTCCATACGTCTTTTGCTAAGTTCAGAAAGACTTATCAGCAGTCTGGATGAAGGTAAATGAATTTAAGCACAGTAACCCTCAAAAATTGTCAATTAAGTCACGGATTATATCTTCTTTGATAAAGAAAATACCTATATTAATAAAAATCACAGATCCTTGAAGTATCGATTTTTTAAAAATTGGATCTGTGACATCAACAGTTTAATGAGCTCCAAACAAAGAATTCTCTCTTCTAAAGCAGACTGGCACCTGCTTTGCAACTTACAGTTTCAGGTGTATTTCCTGTAGGTAACATATTGTTGAGTCTATTTACTAATCCATTTCACAACTCCATTTGCTTTTAAAAGTGAATTCAATCCATTTACGTTCATTTTTATTTTCCCTTCGTGAGAAATGCTAATTTTTCAATGTTACATGAGATTTCATTCTTTCAGAAAGAAAAAAAAATTGAAATGGTCAGGGTTTCTGACCTCACAGACAAACCTTAATGAGATAAGCAACTCCTTATAGCAAAAAATCAGAAGTGATAACTCGTTTACAAGCTATTGCTATTATAAAAGGCTACTGCTTCTGAAGTCCCACTTTGTATGAGTCACTAAGAAAATGAAGGACTATGAATTAAAGAGAGATTGGAAGGAAAGAGTAGAGAAGGAATAAATTATTTCTTTAAATCTAACCAATAAAAGAAGTGAAAAGATTAAGGTGAAACCACAAGTCTAAAATAATACTCTTATCTACACCACACAAGAAAATGTAAAAAAGATGATATCAGTAAAAATACAATCCAAAGATTTCTGTTTGGTATGAGAGGAAGAGGGAAAATCTTATGTTCCTGTGAATACAAAGAAATTAAGATGAGGTTGTTACCATCAATTACCTTGTTGATAATAGGGTATGATGGAAAGAAAACAAAAATTAACTATTATAATTTTTAAATATAAATGGACTAAAACCATTCATAAAAAAGAATAGAGTTGCAAATTGGATTATCAAATAAAACCATAACAATATGCCATCTACAGGGAACACATCTAAAGGATAACGATTCATACAGCCTAATGGGGGGGAGGGGAAGGGAGGTGTTTCCAAAACAAGACATTTAGTCATGATTTAAGATAAGGCTATGGTAAAAAAAAAAAAAAATTATAATAAGATACCTTCAAAATACATACAAAAAGAAATCCTATATTATTTTTAAAGATATCACCGATATGGGAATAGTATTAATACCATATATATGTAACAAATGGCATATTAAGTACTTAGGTACGCTAACTAGAATACCAAAAAAACCCTACTACTGATAAACAATAATGATGATGATGAGGACGACATCATTTATATAGGGGCTTAAGGTTGCAAAACATTTTACAGATAGTATTTCAACTGATCCTCACAAAAATCCTGTGAGATAAGTGCTATTACTGTTACACACATCTGGCAGATGAGGAAACTAAGACTGCAGGAGAGGTAATATGCTTCTTTTGGAAATTCGTAAATAAATCAAAGATAAACAAGAAGGAAATTACAGACATGAACAAAATGTTGAAAAAACTGTATTTGATAGGCCTGTGAAGACTAGTGAATGGACGTGTTACAGACCAGATTTATTTGGGAGCTCTGTGGGACATTTACGATAGGGCATTTAAAAACAACAACAACAACAACAACATAAAAATAAAACAGCAGAAGTCCTATATGCATTCATTATAGACTAAAATTTGATTTAAAAGAAGAAACTCAATAAAAGAAATATGAACAAAAGATGAAAATCTAAATGGAGATTAGGTATTATATCCTTAATGTGATCAGTTTGGAGACAACTTAAAACAATTAAAAAAATTATATTGAAGAGAATAGAAAATGACAGTGACAGAACATACCAAAAATTCATTTGAAACTACAGCAGTCTTTAATGGCAAAATTATGTTACTTAGCATTAATATTTACAGAGGACAATAGAGTATTAATAAAATAAGCAGTCAATTTTAAAAAGTAGAGAAGCAAATTAATAATCCCGAGCAAGCTCAAAAGAGGTCATTTTAAATGAAAACAAAACCAAGACCAATGCATTAGCTAATTTGATGCTTCTTTGTTTTGTTTTGTTTTTTAAAGAGAGGACAACAAAGTTAAAGATCAAAAATTTTTAAAAAGCAAATTCATAATGAAGAGGAAAATAAATAAGACTGTTTTTTCTAAAAATTACTATACCCAATTACATGGTGACCTAAAAACCTATGTGAAAATTCAGGAAAAAAGCTAGGTCTACAAAAAGAGTACTCCAACAAATCAAAAGAGCTGTCCATCTGTTGGCCCTCATTCTCACTATAAGTCCAGTCCACTTCTTTTTCCAGCAATACATCTCTTGGACTATATTATTTGAAAACTGTCTTGTTATTCTAGACTTGACAAAAATAGACAAACATGAATATTTACATAAAGTAGAACAAGAAAAAAAGAAGACTGTTTATGAAACTGCAAATATAGCTGATTTGTATATGTAGCTTATTTTAAAATGCTGCATGCTAGTTCGAAAGTTGTCTCCCTTGTCTACTGTCTGCTGCCCTCTGATTCTCCTTCTAATCTCTTCTTGTGCATTTTCTTCATTGATACTCTTTTTCTCCTTTTTGCAGTACACCACTATCACTAGCTTCTTTTCTCTGTCTCTGCCTCTCTTACACACACATACACACACCCTTTAATCTGTAACAAGCTAACATAATCAAATCAAACAGAAAATCTGTTTTATCTGCATATCTAATCCATCCCCTACTTGAAGGGGTAAGAAGTATGCTTTGTCATTTGTCCTCTGGAGTCATCATTAGTCAGAGTTAAGTCTTTCAAGGCTACATTGTGGTAGTCATTTTATAAATTCTTCTCCCTTTGCTTACTTCACCTCTTCATTAGTTCATAAAAGTTTTCCCAGGGTTTTATGAATTAATCTCTTACAGAACAGTAATACTCTATTATATTCATAGACCGAAATGTGTTTAGCCATAATCCAAATGATGGGCACCCTCTAGTTTACAGTTATTTGCAAAAATAAAAAGTGCTACTATAAATATTTTTCTACATATGGGTCCTTTCTCTCTGCCTTTGATTTCTTTAGAGTATGTATGTATCTAGTTGTGCTATCACTGAGTTCAAGGATGTACAGTTTCATGA